GAAAAACAGCCTCAGATCCCATCCTGGATCCAGGGAAAAACAGCCTCAGATCCCATCCTGGATCCAGGGAAAAACAGCCTCAGATCCCATCCTGGATCCAGGGAAAAACAGCCTCAGATCCCATCCTGGATCCAGGGAAAAACAGCCTCAGATCCCATCCTGGATTCATTAAAAAACAGCCTCAGATCCCCCCGAATTCAGGAAAAAACAGCCATCCATCCCCGATTCCCACAGCCCCTTCCACATCCCACAGCCCCCATTTCCCCACATCCATCCCCGATTCCCTCACAGCCCCTTCCCCATCCCACGCTCCGATTCCCCCCGCTCCCCCCTCTCACTCCCCTTTCTCTCCTTCCCCTCCAGCCCCCCCGGCCGCCTCTGCCGGGCCTCCCCTCCCTCCATTCCCCGCTCCCCGGTCTCTCACCGCCCGCGGCCCGGCCCGCAGGAGCCGTGCGGGGACTCCGCGCCTCAAGGAGACTCCGACCGCGGCCGCCGCCATCTTGGCACTGCGCACTTCCAGCCGCCCCGGAAGCGCCCCCGCAGCCGCCATGTTGCGCGCTGAGGGGGAAGGGCCGCCCGCCATTTTGAGTGTGGCGGAGCCCTCAGGGGGGCGCCATGTTGGGTGTGGCTGTGGGGCACAGCAGGGTGGCGGGCCACGATGCTTAAACCGCCCTATTTCTGTATTAAAATCCGCTTGTTTTATCTCCATTAATGATCAGCGTCGTTATTTTGTGTGGAGGTAGCTGTGGTGCCACCCGCCTCCTCCAAGGGGACCTGCTCTGGTGCCAGCGGGGCAAATGGTGGGCGCTGGGGAGCGAAGAATCCAGATTCTCGCTTCAGAAAAGAGAGCTTTTCCCACCAGATTAAAAGCTCTTCAAGGTCCCTCCAGGATCAAATCCAAGCTGTGACTGATCCCCACCTTGTCCCCAGAGCACCGAGTGCCACATCCAGCCCTTCCCCGGACACCTCCAGGGATGGGGACTCCAAACCTCCCTGGGCAGCCCCTGCCAAAACAAATGCTCCTCTCTTGGAAACGATGTAACTTTCCTAACTAGTTTTTAATGAGCTGTTATAATTACCTGTAAGCAGTGCCACTTTTAGCCAGCACAGGTTAAAACTTCTTCACAGACTCTTCTATTTTGATCATTACATCACTGAATCAGGGCCTGAAACCTTGCGTTTGTTAAAGCTAACCCTGACAAACCTCAATAAAACCAAAGGGATTTGAAGATTGGACATGTGGGATCTTAAATCTGTGGCCCTTTAAGGACAGAAGATACAGAGGAGATTGAGGCCTGGAAAACTGGGGATTCCTGATTGAAAAAGATGAGAAAAAGATAATAAAAGAACTAAAGAATGTGGCCCGGCATAGTATGAAGAGTGAAAAAACAATAACCAATATTGGACAGAATGCTAATCAATGAAAAGAATTTTTAGAACCCACGACCAGTGCCTTCTTTGTTAAAAACGTGTAAACAAATGAAAACGTTTTGTATTGATGTGGAGGCTGGAGTTCTGTCAGCCACACACAAAAGGCTGAGGATAAAGTGATGCCTGACTCACCAACACTACAAAAACAGCATTAGAGACCATTTCAGAGGATTTTGGTAACACCTCCACCCCTCCTCACCCCTCCGAGCCCTTCCCCTCCCTTCCCCTCCCAGTTACTCCCTACGATTATTCAAATCCCCGGCTTTTTCCTCACAGCAAATTCATTTATTAAGCAAATCGCACGCAACACACGCTGGGGGCAAACACGGAGGGAGGAGGAGGAAGAAGAGGAAGAGGAGGAAGAGGAGGAAGAAGAGGAAGAGGAGGAGGAGGAAGAGGAGGAGGAAGAGGAGGCCTGGCTACGGCGTGAAGTGCCACCACTTGAAGGCGAAAGGCCGGCGCTGGACGCTGGTGCCGCAGCGCACCTCGCCCAGGCTGCCGTGGTACGAGGCCACGTCCTCCAGGAAACGGCAGCGCAGCCCCAGCGGCTCCAGCAGCGCCCGGATCCGCCGCTCCAGGCAGCACTCGCCGCCCGCCACCGGCCCAAACGGCTTGGGGATGCCCAGGTCCCTGGCCAGCACCATCATGGTGACCTGCAGGTGACACCAAGGGACAGTGGCATCAGAATGTGTGACACTGAAGGACTTGGGGACGGCCAGGTCCCTGGCCAGGTTGCTCATGGTGCCCTGTGGGGTGACACCAGCAATGTCGGGATGGATGAAACCAGAGGAAAGACCTTGGTCACTCTCCTCAGCACCACTTTTTGCGGCTGCCCTCCCTCAGGATTCCAAACCCAACAGAATCCACGCTTTTTTATCTTTAAAGCACGCCTCGCCCCTTGCAATTTCACCACTTCTTTTCAAAATTGCGCTGCAAGCACGAGAGAGCCACCAAGCTGTGTTACACCTGTGTTCATCCACACCCGCCTGGATATATTTCCTTTTCCTAGACAGCTGGGGCGTTTTTTTTGGGAAAACTTTGGGGAAAATGTGCCTCTCACCTTGCAATTTCACCACTTCGGAAGGATTTCGCCTCAAAACCCCAAAGCCACCCCAAAGCTGTGTTAGATCCGTGTTTATCCTGGAGATATTTTCCTTTCTCAGGAAAACTTTGGGGACTCGTCCTGGCTGACTGAACCCATTTTTTTGGGGATGACCCAAGGGTGGGAATCCCCCAGTACCGTGTTGGGGAAGTAGGGAACGGCTTTTCCCTGCTTGTCCAGCTTGAAGAGGGCCGGCAGGTCGATGATGTCCTCCTCCAGCAGCCCCAGCTCCTTCTTGAGGATATCCCTGTTCCAGTCGATGCAGCGCTGCCGGGGACGGAGCAGAGCCCGGATTCCAGCGCTCCCTGCGGGGTTTGCGCCACGCCGGGGTGGTCGCTGCCAGAAATGGGGGCTGTGACCCGGGGGTGTCAGGGATTACCTGGACGTACTGGTTCTGCTGCGCCAGGGCGTCGTTGGAAAGGACCTTGTTGATGGTGATGCGCTTGGTGTCTGTCCCCGAGTACCCTGGACACACAAAACGCCCTCAGCAGCGCTGGCGGGAGCCTGGCTTGAGGTGGGGTAAAGAGATGGGAAAAGCCCCCAAAATCCAGGTTTCTTGAGGCTGGGGTGAAAGCTTGGGAAGATGAGGGGGGGAAATCTCTGCCCGTTGGAAGGAGCATTGGAAAAGGCTCCATCCATCTTCCTGCCCATGGGAATCTGCTGAATTTCTCCAGAGCATCCCCCTGCATGGGGTCACCCCTGCTCTGGGGACCCCCTCAGTGACCAGAGGAACCCTTGGAGACACGGGGACCTCCTCCCAGCCCTGCCACGGATCAGAATCACAATGAAAAGGAAAAAAAACCGGTTCTGATCCGCCAGCTGTCCCTCTCCATGCTGGAGCTCCGTATCCTTGGAGACACGGAGACCTCCTCCCAACCCCATCGTGGATCGAAATCACAGTGAAGGGGGGGAAAAAAAGCCAGGGCTAATCTGGGGGGTGACATGAGAGCTGCCAGTTGTCCCTCTCCGTGCTGGCATTTCCAGAGGCTCCATGCTGGGCAGCAAACATCCCTTCCACGCAGGGGCCTTTATCCCTCCCATCCCACTCGATTCCCGAAATAGGGCCGGAGGAGGCTGGGGGCGGCGGGCAGGCATCCCGCTGAAGGACAACCAGCCGGGGAAAATGTCCCCGCGTGTCCCCGGCTGTGCCACCGAGCGCTGTCCCCTTGCCTTTGAACATGGTGGCTTCTCCCTGTCCCTCCTTCTGCTTCTCGCGGAAGAGCCGGTAGCAGGCGGCCGGACTGGCCAGCAGCATCCGGAATCGCTGCGGGAACACGGCCGGGGTCAGCTGCGGCCCCCCAGGGACTCGCTTCTGCCAAAACCGGAGCTGAAACTCCAAAAAATCGTCTGTCTTTGCTGTTATCCAGTGTCTCGTTTGCCCACCGAGGGTTTGCGGGCCTAAATATTCCTTTTTGGAGCCATCTGGGTCAAGGCTCGGTTTCCGTGAGGGAAAAATTTATGTGAGAAGCAGCCAAAGCCGTGACAGAGGGAAGAGAAAGGTTCTGAAGACATGTGGGCATAAATATTCTTTTTTTTTGGAGCCATCCTTGTCAAGGCTGGGTTTCCCCGAGGGAAAACTCCATTTCAGGAACAAAAAAGGCCATGAGAGAGGGAAAAGAAATGTTCTGAAAAACCTCTGAGCGGCCACAAACCCCAGGGGAACTTAAGGCTGGAATTTCTTGGATACCTTTGGATCTTTTCCCTTCTATTTGCGGTCATCAATATCCAGGAAAATCCCCTTTTTAGCGCTCAGATCCCTCGTTTTGGGGTGGGGGATGAACCCCAAGCGAACACCGGCTGGGGGTGCCGAAGGAACGGGGTTTTCCCGGCGGGATTTGTGTCCCGGAGGAGGAGCCCCGGGGCAGCACGGCGGGTCTGGGGGTACCTTTTTGTCAGAGGCGGGCACGAAGGTGACGAACTCGTTGACGTTGCCCACGGCCAGCCAGTCGGAGTAGAGCTCCACGGGGGCCTGGACGCGCTGGGCGAAGAGGAAATCCCGCACCAGCCTGGTCATCCTGCGGCCCGCGGATCTGGGGGGAAATTCCCGTCAACATCTGCCTGGATACTCGGATTGGGAGAACATTCCCTTCAACATCTGCCTGGATTCTTGGATTGGGAGGATATTCCCATCAACATCTGCCTGGATTCTTGGATTGGGAGAACATTCCCATTAACATCTGCCTGGATTCTTGGATTGGGAGGATATTCCCACCAACATCTGCCTGGATTCCTGGATTGGGAGGACATTCCCATTAACATCTGCCTGGATTCCTGGATTGGGAGGATATTCCCACCAACATCTGCCTGGATTCCTGGATATAAATCGCCACTGAGGTGGAGGAGCCCGGGAGCCCTCACCCTGCCCGGGCAGTGTCTGACTAACCCAATAAACCCAGTTTTGGTGGGCGCTTGTTTCGGGGCTTTCCGAGGCTCCCAAATCCGCTTTTCCCAAAGCTGCTCTTCCCCCGTCTCTTACGCAGGGAAGCTGCTGCCGATGAGGATCCTTCCCAAGGGATACTCCTTGCCAGCCACGGACACAGGCGGGCTGACCTCCACGTTCCCGAAGGAGTCCAGGCTGGCCACGGCCTCAACCAGGGGTTCCTTGTGCACGTAGCCGAAATCGGGGCCCTGGGGAAAGAAGAAGTGCCCTGAAGCGCCTTCCCCCGTGGGGATATCTCCAAGGGATCGCCCAATCCGGCTGTTTTCCATGCTGGGCTCTCCCAAAACGCCCCATCCCAGACTGGCCCCGGCCCTTTTCCTCTGCCCAGGAGCCCGCAGGGATGTCCCCGTGGTTTTCTCCTCCCGAGGGGTGGGTGAGGACAGCGAGGGCACGGGGAAGGCGGGAGGAGAAAGGTCTCGGGGTCACGGAGGTGTGGGAATAATCGGGAGCAGAGCCTGGGCCTGATCTCCTCTGTCATCCCACAGCCAAGGTTTAAATGTTCATGTTAAACCAAGGTTTAAATGTTC